ACTAGTTTGAAACATTGAGATCTAAAAATTCAGCAGGAAATCCGTGGTCAGCTAGTGAGGGCTTCCGTTGGATATTTGTGAATTTGGAATCTTGTCATCTTGTAATGAGATTATATTTGCAGTAAGAGTGATCGTTAGCAAAGCAATACTGATATTTTCGTGTTTCTTTACAGAGGCCTAGTTCCTGTGACTTAAGATCATATTCAGAGAGACTGGCTATTTTTGAATCCCTCAGGAATTCTGTAAAAACCACTTATCAGTATGGATAGGTCAATTCTTTAATACCACACGCATACTACCAGGGTGGCGAATGTTTCAGGCTTTTTAGAAGCCAATTCATTCATCGTCTTCCATGTGGTCTATACTATGAGTTTATGTACTAGGGAAAGGCATAGGTAAGTTGTAGTGTCTAGCACTACTATGGACCTGTGTGATTCGTCCTAGCTTATGAACGGCTGTTGAGTCGTTTATACCGTCATAACAACCCTATCCTCATAAGGAGTCATGAACTTGTCAATTACTCGCCCTTAACTCTATTTTGGATGTGTGTGTATTGCCTACCCAATTCATCACGTATCTTTAGCTTATATTTGTTAGGCTATGGATAGTGAGTCACGCCTTATCAAATGAAGTTAGCACGCTTGCTATCTCCGCTACACTTAGCCTTTTCGCTTCTTTCGTTTGAGTAAACGAATGTTTGAAATAAATTCACTTGATTCAATACACATTTGTCTTATTACCACCGACGCTCAGACGGGGTCAGCCTGGTTGTAATACGCGGAATCAAGCAAAAGATTTATATTCCTGGTGCATTCGTTCGTTCAACCTGGGGTTAGATTAACGGACCATCAATGGTACGTCTATAAACAAGTTAATTCTCAAAATCTCTCATAGTAGTTCGTCTACATTTTTTTTATCCGTCATTCATATGGCCGGTAATGTCGTTCTTTCCAGCTTTCGTTTAGTGACACATTAAAGTTAATTATTGTGGGGTAGACCGTCTCAGTATATTTTAGTAACAGCATAGAATTAATCTTGAGTTAATATACCGATGGATGGTAGGAAACTCAAATATAGCTGGTGTATAGTTTTTAGTCGTTCATTTGTAAGTGACTCACAAGCTGGGGCATATATATCTCGTTTAAACTGTTTATCAGTGTTATACCCCGTGAATTGCTTGTTCTAAGTAGGTTTGACTCCTTTTTTCCTATGACAGGGTCAAGAGCTGTTAACTTATGTCTGTTTTTTTTGCTGGTTTTAAACGACCTTACTGTTGCTTTCGTTCCTATCTCTTTTTGTTTTACTGTTCGCCGCTATCCAAAATCACTATGTTAGTTTCAATCCTTAATGTTTTCACCTTAAGGATTCGCTGACCCGGCATCGGTTAAAACTCCGTAATCTATCACTGTTTTATGTCGAAGGTTTTTAATAGCCGTTACTGCCATCTATACGGGAAACTAGGAATCATTATAGGGTGTCTCGAACTGAAAATACGTTTGATATTGTAGTTAAAGGTTTCTAACTAACTTTACAAATGGCAGTTTAGTTTGTCAAGTGATCTCGATGAGACATCCCAGTTTCACTTTTCTTGCGTTTTTTGATGTGGAGACATACATGTGATTTTATTAAGACGTAGTCGAAGGCTAATTTTATTTTACAAAAGAAGTAGCAGTCTAAAGTTGTTCTGACTGGTGGGTACTGACAGTCGATTCAGTTTGTGTTTGTGTTTGCCGTGTCGAAGAGCATCTCTATGTAGGGTTAATTGGTTCTTACTGAGAGACTTGGTGCCCAGAATGTAGTTGTATCAATTAACCGTCATTAGTTGTTCAGTGGGTTAATTTGTTGGGATAAATCTCACTGATAGTTCACTTGAGTGTAGAACGCATTTAGGTGCATTTTGAGACTTAGGTCATAAGTTGAGCTGTGTGTTTGATATTCGTACTGGTGTTATTGTTCTGTCTACCAAGAGTAAGTTTTTTCCTTTTGTTAATCGTAAAATGAAATATAAGAAGTATACTTACATGGTGGCAACTATGAATTTCCGAATTTTTTTACATAAAGGTATTTGCATGCTCTTCGGAAAGACTTAAAAAATGCTTTTACGTTTACTTTCCTTGTCCCATCTTTGAGGTTACTAAAAATCTAATCCTACTTTTATGTGCTGACTTTCATAATGTGTATTAATTATAGAACTGCGTGTTATAGTGGTGTGAAATCGTATGTTTTTTGTGAATGTGCGATCGTTGACGCATCATACTCATATAACTAGGTTTGGTTAATTGTTAACTAAGCCTGTGATTACATATATATCCATCCTATCAGCCTCGTCATGGCCTTCATAGCAAGGGACATTGGAGCAAAGGAGTGCTTAATTTTTAGTTATTTAATCAGTCGCAAACAAAGTAGGACTTGGCATCAGCGGAAGTAGTCGCGCCAAATATTATATGTAGTATTTATTTTCCCTTTCACTATGTTCAATCTCTTTACACATCTATATATTTTCCTTAAGTGATGAAAATACCAAATTCCCAGTAATCACAGTACTATAACCTCTGATATGGATCAACCTTCATTTTTGGTAAATGTATCATCCTACCTTTATCAGTATAGCTAATTTTTAATTACTAGTATCATATAATTATTTCGCTACAATGTAAAACTGTGTTTATTTAATTTTATAGCTAATGGAATTACGAGTCGGCAATAAATATCGCCTTGGTCGTAAAATTGGTAGTGGATCATTTGGTGAAATTTACTTAGGTAGGTTCAAGTGAATTATATGCCATACTAAGGATCTAAATGCTAATTATTGCTTTTCAAAGTCTCTCACATGTTGTGTCTAGTAATAATAACAATAATACTAATAATTTTATTCTAAGAAAAATGTGTTTCTTGAATTATTGTGTGCATATTTTAATTCAAACTGATTTATCAGCCGTTCATGTTGTTATCTGTGTGCATAAAATGTACTTCTAGAATGGCCGTACGATCCATCAATTAAATTTCATATGAAATGATAATTTTCTTTTGATGACTCCCTAACGGGCTCAGTCTGGCATATGTCTTGCTATGTAATTCGAATATAAAGATGATTTCATCGGTTTCAACAAAAAAATATAATGCCAGTGACGAGAAACAGTAAATTACGACACAGAATACCCAGGTTTTATCGGTCTTCCTGCCTAGCCCTGCCTGTTAAGTCCAGAACACCAATCTTAGCCTCTACGATATGAATCATTTATTTCAAACATACTGGGTTTATATACAAACCAAACAGACTACAGCGTACCATAAAGTAGAAAGTAACATTCGTACAAGTTCAGCCAAAAGTGGCTGTGAATGTGAGAGACTGTAATTAATAGACTGGGCATAACTCAAGAACGGTAAATCGTATAATAATAGTCTATGTCAGTCATAATAAGTCTATGGGTCAAAATAAAGCTTTTAATAAGAGGAACATGAATATGCATAGTTTAGTCTAATAAGCATACAATAAAAATATATTTATCGTATCGGTCCATAAATAGCTACCAAAAGTTACCATTCATAATTCTCGTCAGGATATAACAAATATTTGTTTTATTTTCAATATATTTTATTCATTATAACGTTGATTTGTTTCAGTGTATTTATTCAAGATATGATATTCTTTGCATTAAATTAACGTGAACTATGTTCAGGATGACATTGAGCATGATATATACGTAATTTATTCCTAATTAACAATCAGTAGGTTTAAAAATCAATATATAATTGAGTATATTTTCGACTAGAATAGTCGTGTTTTGGGGGTTAATAAAACTTCACTTGTACCAGTCTTGGTGTTCTCACTTCGCTTGTGGAATTGCAGTGGTTCATCGTCTTTTGAGTATAAGAATTAGGCTCCGTGGATATAAAATTGGTGACCCCCAGTTATAAACGTTTCTTAGCCCCCCTCCTCCATAGAACACTACTGGACTTACTTACTTACTTACGCCTGTTACTCCTCGTGAAGGAGCATAGGCCACTCACCAGCATTCTCCAACACTACTGGACCTGACGTGCAAATTAATTACAATAATTATATGAAGATAAAATGTATTGTACGAAAATGTTGGTACAAAATTTATAGAAGCAAAACCAATAGTATTTTTATGAGATATTGGAAGCTTCCACTACTTTATGTAATCACCCGTCTACATTGATTGGTTGTAACGAGACCCATGAGCATGTTCTTACCATTCATACACTGAGCATGCAAGGTGGTTAGCTAGGCATCTGTACTCCTAATGCAATTCAAGATCACCAATTCCAGGCTCTTTGTCTTGAGACGCTTGAGTGTTAGATATTTGTTTATGAATTTTGAGACCATATATAACCTGTTTTGTGTTTTCTGTCATTCATAAGTATGATTACGCTTAGAAATGAAAGAAACCCATACCTTCCTAGGATTTAGTTTCTTCAGTGTTTAAATATATAGTCGTATGCTTGATCTAAAAGTTACTTCTGTTATAATCTGTTTCCTAGAAAAATGCTCTTTTGTTACCATCCAAGTATTTTTATTAAATAGCCTTCAACCAAACATTGAACATCAGGTATATGCGTGTCAAAATACTCATCAACTGTTATTACATATGATTTAATTAACACTAAAAATGACAATACCGTTTTACACTAGTGCTTGACAAACTTATTATTTTCTCTATTATCAGTGGTGTATTATATCCTTAAGTTAATTTAATATTGTGTTTAGGTTCCCATTCAATATTCCAGTGTGACAGGATATATAGTTTGCCTTGTTTTTTTCTTCATTGTCTAGACCAATAATTTGAGTGACATTTTAATGTTTCAATTAGACAACACTATTTCTATTGATTAGATGGTTTAACTCTTGTTTTATAAGAAAATAATTCACTTCTTTTTGTCAACTTTGTTCAAGGTAATAACTATTGTTTATAAAATAAATACCTGTTTAAATTTACAAATAGTAGTAGGAGTAGTATTTGTCGAGCGTATAAATGCACGTACAAAGAAATAGAGTGTGCATGTGCGGGCACAAACTATAAACATGTGTTCTGTCACTATCTTGTTTTTCATTGTCGTTTATTTAAAGTTTGTTTAAACTCGTGACTAACACAGCCATTGTAATTTATTGATTGATTGGAAACATTGTCTTTCATATCATCTCAGTATAAAGTTAGGAGTAGTGGAGTAATAATCAATAATGATTAGTCGTTTGTTGATTCTTTTTGTAGTATAAATAATACCAATGGTATTTGTTTATTATTATTATTATTGTTTTATAACCATGGGACTATGAAAGACTAACGATTTCCGGTTGTTTATCATTCTACACGTTTAAATATCTAATTGTACGAATAAGGAATAAAGTACTTTACCCATTATAATGTAATCATATAAAATGTTAGTTTATGTAAATTAGTGATTGTTTTTGGTGCTAGTCTCTTATTGTTATTCAAAGTATCATAAAACAGTCAATTGATTAGATAAATTTCATCTCCTTCACTTAATTTACCATAAGCTTGATGTAAGTTAAAAAAAAGTGGCTCGAGAATCTGATTAGGCAAATAAATTTTTTTCAAGACATTAGCATTGTTGTTGCTCATCGTTTTTAAAAAGAATTAGTTTGATTTCCTAGAATGAAGATTAACATACACTGAAGTCATTCTAATTTCAGCGTACATGTTATAATATCCTCTTGGTGAACATGTAATATTCCGTTGTTTATTACACACAAAAGTCAAGTATCTTCAAATGACGGAAAGTTGTAGATCATTTCCAAATATAAATGGGACTCCTTGTTCAAGTGTGGGAAGTTTGACAAGTAAACATTTATGTGATTAATTTTCCCATTCATGTTTGTTATAGAAACGGAGCATATACATTTTGCAAAGAACTGTTAGCCCTTCTTCTACCCTCTTTACCTACTGTTTACTATCATACGGCAAAACTTGTGTAGATGTTTTCGCAATTATTACGGACGGACAGTTTAACAAATGCATTTTCTCCTCTTGTTAGATAATGGTTTTTCGTCAGTATTCTATTACTCTTTAGTCGTATGTGAATAACTAGAGTCAAAATTGATTTTTTTCGAGTATACTATTGTTTACTATTATCACTAATTGAATACCGTTCATCCTAAGTATATTTTATATTGTATCCATTCTAACCTCAGATCGCAAGTTTTTTGAAGCCGAGTAAAATCGTTTGTTTTATATCATAGTGTATAACTATCTATCTAATTATAAAGATTACAATTGATCAGACACTTTTTAGTGTTAATCGTCTAGTTCTTTGGTTTTGGTTGAGTTCTATCGATAAATTTGCAATGTAACTAATAGTCTAAATGATTCGAAATCACTGTTACCTATAGAAAGGTTTTAATTCTACAGGGATCATCAATTCTTTCAAGACTGAGTGCACGCCTTGGTAATGAGTACCAACTAGCATAAAATCGAGGTTAAGAGTTTCCTGCCTATTCTCTCCAACCAAATATCTCAACATTAGTGTGTGTCAAGTTACTTAGACTTTTGGTCATGTTGCAAACTGATGTGTAGAATTCGATAAGCATCATAGGATAAGACAAATATCATGTTGGTGAGTGATCAATCATCTGTAAATTCCTCAATTTTTCAGGAGGTCAGTTGTGGAATCGCAGATTGTGAAGCTAGGTGACACGGGTTCGATTTCTACAGGAAACATCTGTTGCCTCAGGATTACATTTGCACCGTGCTGACGAGTACCAAGTAGCATGAAATCAAGGAGCAGGATTTATTACGGACTACCTGAGACCACGCGATAATTAAGAGATGGATTCCATTTAAAGTCTAAAGAAAATTGCCCGGGAAATATTAACTTACTTAATTGCGCCTGTTATCTTCCGTGAAGGAGCATAGGCCACCCACCAGCATTCTCCATCCAACCCTGTCCTGGGCAATCCTTTCCAGTTGCTATTCATCCATATTCGTTCATATCTGCTTCCATTGTCTGACTTAGTGTGTTCTTCGGCCTTCCTTTTTTACACTTCCTTTCGGGATTTCAAGTTTCCGCCTGTCTCGTGATGCGGTTTGTTGATTTCCGTAATGTATGTCCTATCCACTTCTATCGTCTCTCCCTAATTGCCTCTTCAGCTGGAAGCTGGTTTGTCATCTCCCACAGTAGGTTGTTGCTGAGGATATCCGGCCAATGGATGTTGAGTATCTTGCGTAGACAACTGTTTATAAATACTTGTACCTTTTTGATGATGCTTGTAGTAGTTCTCCAAGTTTCAGGCCCATACAGTAGGACTGTCTTGACATTCGTATTGACGATTGTGACTTTTGATATTGGCCGACAGTTCTTTTGAGTCCTATATGTTGTTCAACTTTAGGAATGCTGTCCTTGCTTTGCCAATCCTCCTTAATCTTCGACGATGCTTCCCAGGTGCGTGAAGGTATCCACGTCTTTCAGAGCTTATCTATCAAGCGTGATTGCGTTGATGTTCTCCATGTTGTATTTGAGGATCTTGCTTTTTTCTTTGTGTATGTCGAGACCTACTGATGCAGAGACCGCTGCTACACTAGTTGTCTTGACCTACATTTGTTCGTGTGTATGGGATAGAAGAGTTGGGTCATCTGCGAAGTCCAGATCGTCTAGTTGCATCCAAGATGTCTCTTGTATTCCGTGCTTTCCGTCAGGTGTGGAGGTTTTTATAATTCAGTCAACTGCCGGAAGAAAGAGTAAGGGGAAGAGAAAGCATCTTTGTCTGACTCTGGTCCTCACTTGGAATGCATCTGTGAGCTGTCCTCCATGCACGAGTTTGTAGTGTAGTCCGTCGTATGAATTCCGGATGATGTTGACGATTTCCTCAGGCACACCATAGTGTCGAAGAATGTTCTATAAGGTCCTTAACATACTGTCAGATGCTTTGTGAAAGTCAGTGAATTTGATGTATAGTGACGTGTTCCATTCAACTGATTGCTCAACAATAATCCGTAGTGTCGCGATTGGGTCTGTGAACAGTTGATCCTTACGGGATCCGGGTTGTTGATCTCGAAGTTGAACGCCTATTCAATCTTTCATCCGGTTCAGCAACACTCAGTTGAAAACGTTTCCTGGTACCGATAGTAGTGTGATGCCTCTGTAGTCCTCATATTTGCTTTGACCTCCTTTCTTTGGTATCTTGATGAAGTATCCGTCTTTCAAGTCTGTGGGTACTTGTTCTTGCTTCCAAATCTTTCCGATGAGAATTAGAAGCATCTGTGCAATTTCTTCTATGTCTGACTTCAGTGCTCCACCTAGTATGTTGTCAGAACCTGCTACTTTGTCTGACTGCCATCCTGATTTCTCTCACCGTTGGTGGAGTGACATCTATAGGAAGCTCTGTAGAAGCTGCTTCGATGTCCGATGGATTCATGGAGCTGGTCTATTCAAGAGTTCCTCGGTGTATTCTACTCATCTGCTCCTCTGTTTTTGAATCTCTGTGATTATCTTGTCTTCTTTGTCCTTGACCGGTCTCTCTGGTTAACTATATTTCCTTGCCAGTTTCTTCGTCGTGTCATATAGTTTTGTCGTACTTCCTTCTCTTGCAGCTTTTTCCACTGTCGTTGCCAGCTCTTCCATGTGTTTCTGCTTGTCTGCTCTAATGCTCCTCTCCACTTGCTCGTTTGCTTCTGTGTATTCAGCTTGTACCTTGACTTTCTCTGTTCCTGCTCGGCTGTTGTTAATTGCTGTTTTCTTGTTCTTCTTTTCTTGAATCTTGTCCAGGGTTTCGATGGAGACCCATTTCTTATGATGATGCTTGTTGCGACCCAGAACCTCCTGACACGTTGAATCCAGTGATCCTTCGATCCCTTTCTAGTTGTCCTCCGTAGTAGTTTTTCTTTTATTTGCTTTGATCTCCTTTCTTCGGTATCTTGATGAATTATCCGTCTTTCAAGTCTGTGGGTACTTGTTCTTGCTTCCAAATCCTTCCGATGAGAGTTAGAAGCATTTGTGCAGTTTCTTCTATGTCTGACTTCAGTGCTTCGGCCGGTATATTGTCAAGTCCTGCTGCTCTTTCATTTTGGATATGCATGATTGCCATGCTTATTTCTTCGATTGTTGGAAGGGTAACATCTATAAGAAGTTTCGTGTATGCTGAATTGATATCCTGTGGAGTTAGTGATGTTGATCTATTCATCGGCTATTCAAAGTATTTTTCCTACCTACCTCACTGCTCAGTAATTTCTGCGATAAGTTTGTCGTTTTGCTCTTTCATTAGTTGCTCTGGTTTACCGAGTTTCCTTTCTGGCTTCTTCGATTTTTATACAGCCATTTCATATGTCCTCTTTCATCTTTATTCTCTGTCACTGCTAAGTCTGTCGCTTATTTCTGCTTGTTTGCTCTGAAGCCCCTCTTCATTTGCTTGTTTGCTTCTGTGTGTTCAGCTTGTACCTTGACTTTCTCTGTTCCTGCTCGGCTGTTGTTAATTGCTGTTTTCTTGTTCTTCCTTTATTGAATCTTGTCCAGGGCTTCGATGAAGATGCATTCCTCATGATGATGCTTATTGTGACCCAGAACCTTCTGACACGTTGAATTCAGCAATCTTTTGATCTCTTTCCAGTTGTCCTCCGTAGTAGTTTTTCTTCTTCCCGTATATCCTGTAAGGCTTGAAACCTGTTGTTGAGAGTTATCTTTAATTCGCTGGGTTTATCAGTATATGGAAGGTAGGCTCTAACTCTCCTGTGTTTCTTTAGTTTGTTTCATCTTGGCCATAATGAGGTAGTGATATGATACTATGTCAGCTCCTCTCCTGGTCCTCACATGTTCCATTGACTTTCCGAATTTTTATTGATGCAAATATGATCTACCTGGTTCTCCGTGGTGTGGTCCGGTGAGACCCATATAGCTTTCTGTATGCGTTTGCGTTGGAATATAATGCCGCCTATCACCATTTTGTTGAATGGACATAAATTTGCAAATCTGTTACCATTCTCATTCCTTCCTCCCAGTTCATGTCATCACATGATATCTTCACACTCGGTGTTTTTCATCCCGATTTTGGCGTTTGGTGATTTCCTTTTTCGGGCAATTCGCCATGATCGACTGCATGATTGACTGCTATCATTGGCGGGTGCATTCATTATGATTCCCTACTTTTTTTAAAGAATGCTTTGATGATCCTTGGTCCATGAGATTTCCATCCCATAAGTGCATTTCGTGCTTCTTTGGACAGCATCAAAATAACTCCCTGAGTGTGTGGAGCATTCTCCGGAGTACAGCAGCATCTCTCACGTACCTATCCTTTGTTTTCCATCTAGTATTTCCCGTATCTCCTCATTTCCTTTGCTATTTGACTGGTCCTCTCGGTCTCCCATATTGTCCAGAAGTTCCATTTACCTATGTTAATTGTTGCTCTGGTAATTAGAAGGAGTATCATCTTCATGACTTTTTGAGAATCTCAGCATTTATCATGAGGCGTCATAATTCTTCATTCAACTCTCAGGCCGAAGTTAAAATGGTTTAATGGGGTCGGCGTTTATTAGCAAGATTGTTTTCTACATTATTTTGTTGTCGACCCCATGCCCAACCCTCCCTCTTTACCCGGGCTTGGGACCGACAGTAACTCTAGAAAAGCTACGGGCGGAGTTAAATTGGCAAATATTACCTAATAGAGTGGAATTTCATTGTGCATAGTCCTACTTATCTCATGGTTTTGCCTTGAATTCACATTTTTCAATAATCAATTTGAATAACAACCATTACTAATCCTAACTATCCATTGATTCTTCGTCTTCAGATGAAACACACATATCTATTCAGATTTGTTAATTTTGTCCATTTTCATATGGTATCGTTTAAAGTCATTTTTGTATAGTAAAAAATTTCTCTATTTTGCCTTGTCATAATTCACTGATTGAAATTTTGTTTTGACAAACTCAACGCTTTGAACTAAAGTATTTAGTATGTGATCAGTTGTTTATATCCTGTCCATTGGTTAAAGAAGATACTGCCATATTGTGATATGGTTGAAAATTTTTGATTTTTTCTTTGTTTACTTAGCGGTAATCTATGGTTGTTAGCAGTTTGACGTTTATCAGTGTCTAGACCTTGAATAGTAAATTATCTTATGCTGGCTTTTCGTCTATTATTTTGGTACAATTTCAAATTAAAAAAATGTGATCATTCGGCACATACATATACAATTGTTGGCATCCGCTTATAATTTAAAATTTAGTACAAAGTAATGCGTACAACTTATTGTTGTGAAGTACAGTTACAGTGTAGAGAAGAATATATTATTTTTAACATATTTAATACACTATTAATATTTTAGGACATGTGTACACAATTCATTTAATGAGTCATAACTTCGTGCTTTGATACTTTTAACTATTTATATATTGAATTGTAATGTAAACATCCTTCTTGTGCCTGCAATGTCAAACTAATCTATCAGTTGCGAAATAAATTTTCATGTACTATTTTCTGAAGTGTGCTCATTATAAATGGGGGAAGAAAACGAATTACAACTTTACTTACCACTTATTTAAAAAAAGGCAATAGACAGAGGGAATCTACACTTATTGTGAGAAGTTACAGATTGATTTCGTAATACATATGTTTAGCCTTCAGTCATCCCTTAGCATCTTCCAATGTGTTCTATCTACACCGTGCTTTCATTGTACTGAAACTCTTCGTCTGACTACTGTTGGAACTTCGATGATAATGTTCCTCTACATAATTCGTACAAACAATCTTGTGAGTAGCGTCCATCACACATACTGAAATGAATGAACTGGGCGTTCGAACCTGTAGTGCAATGAATATCAGTGTAATGTTTTCACTTCAAAATCCATTCCACTGAAAAATCATATATATATATATATATATATATATATATATATATATATATATATATACTATGCCACACTAAATCACCAACCATAAGGTATGTGGTGTTAATTTATTGTTCTTCATTTTATTGACCCGTGGTGTAAATTCCGCAAAGTTTTGTATATATTTGTATGTGTTTGTAAGTCTCTTTAACACAAATAACCTCGGAACTAGTTTTTGCTTTTAATAAATATCAAGCTGTTTACCGGTTCGGTTATCACTCTAAGCTTGTTGTATGTAGTGGTCATTACATTGTGCGTTCAGATGTGTAAGCTGTACACTGCTTATTTCAAACTTAATCCCTTCAATTCTGATTTCACCTTATATTATATATTCAGGTGAACCTACTATTATCTGACACCGATTCAATACCAAAAGGTTTGTTATCGTCGTCTCCAAAGCAACTTTTAAGAAAATGTGCATTTTATTAAAACTTTGATTAATTTATTTCGTGGCCTTGAGTTAGATGCTGTTCTAATGTGGTGTTAACATATTCATGTTTTCATACTCGTAAAACTACAGTAATTTATCACTATTATTACTATTGTTACTATTTCATAGGTACCGATATCACAAATGATGAAGAGGTAGCTATCAAATTAGAATGCGTCAAAGCAAAACATCCACAGCTTCAAATTGAAGCTAAGATTTACAAGCTTATGCAAGGTGGTGGTAAGTAATCTATCTTTAATTTACGTGATCTTTTCTTCTGGTGTAATTAAATTCCAAATATAATGATTTGTTTTCGTTTTGTTTGTCTTACGTTGCGATTTCATTTATTGTCAAGGAAATGGTCGTTTTGGGCCGATCTAGTTTTCTCATGAAAATATCCTAAAAGGGGTGTTTAGTTAGTTCGATCAGTATTTATTAAGGAAATCAGTCTTACATTCATCCACTTTATTAATTTTTGAGGTTTTAACAGCATACTTTGTGTACACGATTATTGTAATTTCCGATACTTTACCCAACTTTGCGTGTGTAAACTGACTTGAAACATTTAACGACTCTTGCTAACTTTGCCTATTTTAAATTATGTTTAAAGTGCGTAAGACCAGTCAACCAGTGGTATGAAGGCACATCAACTGATTAATGACATGTGTCATTTATTCATAAAGTGATTGCCAGTTAATTAATTAATTTTATTGTGGTGTGAAATTAGAGCTTGGCTAGGTATATTCATTTCTGTTATTCGGTTAATCGAACAATCTGATAACGGGAGTTTATCTAAACGGTTTGTGTTTTAAACTTTCCTCGGAATTCAATTTAGTGGTGCTATTGAGCAATTCAATTACATAAACTGTCCTCCCAAAATTAATGATATATTTAAGTAGTGCTTTAAGTTTTGTACTTTCTTTAAACTGAAAAAACTTTTATTGGTATTCAAACATATAGGTACGTGCATGTAATCTTGTTGGGATCTATGTAATTTTTGTGGCAGATAGTTAGAGACGTTGGGTGACATGGCTCAGAATCACTTGCAGTGCCATAGTTTTAGTTACTCCATGTTCCCCTAGATTTCGAACTGCAGTCAGTCACGACGTAGAACCTGGTACGTATGTAAATCGGTTCAAGTGCCATACTCTATTAGCACATAGAGATGAAACTATTAAGCTAAATCTTAAAGGGGTAGAAGTCGTAACAGTATTATTGTTTATAGAAAAGACTAGATATCGAAGATATGATTCAAGAACTGATAAATTACTGAAATAAAAACAGAAAAAGTTATGTGGAATTCAAAAGGTCAGAATCTTGGAGAAGACAAAGAACTGATGAGCTTGCGCCACTGGAAATGATTTTGAGGCATTTCGTTCGAAGTCTATAACCATTGATTGCGGTAATCACGCAGGCCTCAACCAGATAGTTTGCACATACTGGCATGGCTCATTCCAATCGTCAATGACTTCATAAACTGATGCCATGTTTTGGTTTGGGCACCTGTAGCTTTAACTTATAAGTTACTTTAAATAATATAAGTATCATGCTTAGTTTGATCGTGAATCATATTACTCCAAACAATTATAAATATAATCCAATATTCAATTACTTTGGATTATTGATTTTGCTTACTGCGCATCATTGAACCTGTAAATCTATAATGAACTACAACCCTACATTCAAATAACTTACATGTTTCTTACGAATTTTAGGCTTATGTTCTCTACTTTCAGTCACACTGTTAATGTTTTATGATTTCTACTACTGTCTGAACCTCGAATATTTCGACCGCTAAGTCCCACGACTCTTCACTTCTTATTGTTAATGGTTATTCTATTGATTTCGTTATAATTGATTCAGTGGGTTTGAATGAGTCGTGTATGTCAGGAGTAAGTATACTTTTTCTTTACACATAAACAATCTGGAAAGAATTATTTCACAAAGAGAATCTACGGTCGATAACCTACCACCGGAAATAAAACTACAATTTATGGATTATAATAACATGGTGGCAAAAAGTAGATCAGTAAAACGTGGGACAAAATTATTCCAGTCACTGGAGCCTCATAAACCTTAAAGAACATTTCCTATGGACCCTGAGCGGTTCGTTCATAATTTCTCTAGTGTTACGTTAGACACAGTGCAAGTAGAGGCTTTGTCACTCGGCCCTAGATTTTGTGACTATAGAAATAAAATAAACCAATTCGATACAGATGTACAGTTCGAAAATCTATTTACACAAACAGCAGATTTGGTGCCTACTTCTCCTGATGAACTCACTAGGTTTAAGACTACGTTCACGGACATCTGCCAACAATACAAAGTAGTAAATGTACAGTGAAAACTCCACTTACCAAACAGCATCAAGATGCTTTACATATGCTTAGAAAAGACAACACTAATCATAAGCAAGCCGGACAAAGGAGGAGGGCTAGTTCTTATGAACAAAGCCGATTACATTAATAAAATTAACTCGATTTTGAATGTTCCGACAAAATTTCAGAAACTCAACGACGTGAAGGACTTAAATATGAAGGCAGAAAAATTGCTGACTAACTCACTAAAGGAACTAAAAAATTGAGGTATACTTACTCCTGACATACATGACTCACTCAAACCCACTGAGTGGAACGCTCCGCAACTATATGGTTTACCTAAAGTTCACAAGACAGGTCTTCCTCTTCACCCAGTTTTAGATATGTATAATTGATTCATTCATTCCATCTCACTCTCATTGCATTCATAAATCGGACGTTACATCCTACGTATTTGACCTATCAACTTGCACCTTGACAAGATGATAGTTTTTTTTAATTTTACACACAATTCAGGGAATAGGGTCATCCGTATTGAGTGAATTATAGTTATTTAATTTCTCGTTTCAAGTAGTTGTTATCACCCGATTAACAGCATGTGACTTAAATAAGAGTAAATATTCGATGAAATGTATTTGTTATTAGACACATTAAAGTACACTGATTTATAATGAATATATATCCTGTGATGTATAATATCATGTAGTACATGGTCACAGTCTCTCTATTGAACAAGTTATATACATTTATTTGGTTTGTGAATTCATCTTAAGTTACTACATGAATCCGTCATAGTCTTCGATCAAATTGTTTTCAATGACCGCAAACAGTAATTAATCTTCATATGATTAAAGTCATTTTTTTGTTCACTAGTAGTTAATCGATTAAAAAACCGTTCAGCTTATTTCGATTAAAAATAATATGATTTATGTGTAGCACAGTATTGTCTGAACTGAATAATGAAACAGTCACATATATTGTTGGCCTTATTTGTATTGTGATTGTTGTGTGCATCACCTTTGCTGATTATTCTAGACAGTTATGAATAAGGTACACAATTGTTCATTCTCTATGGGCATGATAGATTTGATTGTACATTTGAAGTATTTCTATCTGCATATTAAGGGATTATTACTACTACGAGATGACAGAAGAGATTTATAGCCCGGGTGGAGGATTTTAAAGGCCTTATGTTCTTTAGGATAACAAAGGCTTCACAGTCAAACCATTCAGGTCATATATACATATACTTACGCCTGTTACCCCCGTGAAGGAGCTTAGGCCATCCATCAGCATTCTACATCCAACCCTGTCCTGGGCTATTCATCCTTTTCATATGTGAGAGTTTCCACGTCTTCCAGAGCCTATCTATCAAGCGTGATTGCGTTGATGTTCTCCATGTTGTATTTGAGGATCTTGCTTTTTCTTTGTGTATGTCGAGACCTACTGATGCAGAGACCGCTGCTACACTAGTTGTCTTGACCTACATTTGTTCGTGTGTATGGGATAGAAGAGTTGGGTCATCTGCGAAGTCCAGATCGTCTAGTTGCATCCAAGATGTCTCTTGTATTCCGTGCTTTCCGTCAGGTGTGGAGGTTTTTATAATTCAGTCAACTGCCGGAAGAAAGAGTAAGGGGAAGAGAAAGCATCTTTGTCTGACTCTGGTCCTCACTTGGAATGCATCTGTGAGCTGTCCTCCATGCACGAGTTTGTAGTGTAGTCCGTCGTATGAATTCCGGATGATGTTGACGATTTCCTCAGGCACACCATAGTGTCGAAGAATGTTCTATAAGGTCCTTAACATACTGTCAGATGCTTTCTGAAAGTCAGTGAATTTGATGTATAGTGACGTGTTCCATTCGATTGATTGTTCTTGGATTCCACTGCTAGACACTATCCATCTTCACATATAATTTTAAGAATATTTCTTTCACCTTTTTTTCTCTCCAATTGTAATATAATGCGATTTTATCTACCTCTTTCATATGTCACTTTGTTAATTCATTCTTTTTCCCCTTGATTTGGCCTGTGTTTCTACTTGGATGTTTTCACTACTCATCCACAAATACCTGCTCTTCATTCTATCCAACTGTTGCATAACTAACTTACGACACGTTCATGAGGTCAGCATATTTCTTACTTTGCTTGTGTCATACTCCCTCTATTTATTCTTCTTATTCCAGTTGGGATTCCTTGTTTAAAATGGTCTGGTACAGAAGGAGACTACAATGTTTTAGTTATTCAATTACTTGGTCCAAGTCTAGAAGATTTATTTAATTTTTGCGGTCGAAGATTTAAATTAAAAACAGTACTTCTGTTAGCTGATCAAACAATTACACGTGTAGAATATATACAGAATAAGAATTTTATTCACCGGTAAGTTTTTTGATTTTTTTTCTTGTAGCAGTGAAAAGTTGATAGTTTCATATATTTCAATAATTTTGCTGTTAGACTTCACACATCGTCAATTTCATCAAGAATGATGATGACTTTCTAGTCTAATTTATGGTCTAATATGCTTTGTATAGTGAATCTCTTTGTTGATACATGTGGAAATAAGCTTAACATATTAGAATTTCGAGCGTACTTCATTGAGACTGGGCGTTTCATTTTATTTGACTTATCAAGTTATTGCTTTCCTGAAGACCATCAGCATCATTTTCTCTTTAAATTAAGCTTTCTAATCGTGTGAAAGTGTTTGCTTATGACATATACCTAGGTAAAATCTAGGATAACACAAGGCCAAGATAGTGTTGATAAGTATTTCATTGAATTGTTTGTAAATAAACATTGGTTTATATTTCAATACCAATTTTCGCAGTTCATAACTGATATTTTCAGGTCGCCATATACTTTATAGACACTACTAACCATCTAATAATGTAAACTTAAAAGTGGAGCACATCTATAAATATGGTGATAACATTTTCTCATGATCACTTCTAATCAGGTTCAGGGAGCTATGAAAAGCACAAGATAGTTTACAAGCTTTTTGGTAACTAAAGAATCTTTCAAATGTATTTACCAGCAAAAGAATTGAAATCCTCTTACAGCACTGTTGTTAAAGATGTACTCGGAACCGTAATAGGGGATTTAGTAAACTCAGCGTATATGAATACTACGGTTACTATAACAGTCGTGATTCATGTAAACAATCATTAAAATTATCAGTAAATCGTCGATAAAATCTCACCCACATCATATATGAATGAAGATAAGAATATTTAACCACATTTTTCGTATTGTTAATGCAATGTCTAGAAATCTTTTAGTCGTTTAGAGTTATAACGTTATCCTTGTAAAGTAATTTAAGCGTTCCACTTTCAGCTACTAAGTCTCAGGTTGGTACACTGCTCCAAGTACTTCGGTTCGATCAACCGTATATTATTGTTACCCCGCATACTAAAGTACTTAGTGAATGAGTTTATTTATTTATACTTAGGTTCACTTTTCTTTTCAGATATTTTGATAAACGTTCTTAGTATGTACAGTTAACCACTACGACGCTGCTCCTTGAGTGTCAAAATGTTAGAATTCAGAACTTTCTATGTATTTGAACATATAAATATTGGTACAAAAGGGCACCAAATATATATGCGTAGTGTGTAGTTAGCAGACATATTTGGCTAGCAAAATGAAATTGTTGCATCATTCAATTTTTTTTAAAAACCCAGGAACCGTTTTTTAAAATTATTCGATCTATTCATCATCATCCAGAATGTATCTAAGTCATAGGATAAAATTCAAAGACCAATTATTTCATCAGAATAGCACTAACGGTCTGTTGTGAAAAATGTATATCAGTTTATGATTATGCATTTTCATAATATAAGCGTGAATGAATTGGCTTCTTTCTCACTTCTTTCTCTTATTAATTCTTCAATGAATATTAATCTGAAGTTAAGTGTCTTCCTTTGTTTATTCATTGAAAAACATTACTTTACCATATATTAGTTGTATAATTAGTTTTGTTAGTTAGTCATTTGATATTTTTGAAATAGAATTATTTTATTGTATTTTATGTTGTAATACGTTCAAAATGTTGAATCCTAATGACTTTCGTCGGTTAATGTTCCATTTCAGTTGAGATCTAGCTGAATATATGATTTATGGACGACCTTTGAGCGGTGCTAGGGTGACCTTAAGACACTTCACGTACTTACCAGTGTCTTAAGACAGTTATAAATTAATATGATGAATTAGGATTAGGATTTAGAGTTATAAATTAAGGTCGTGAATTAAAGTAAATGTTTTTGTAACGAACCAACATCTATGATGCCAAAATGCTATTTAAATATATGGATTGATGAATTTCGCGTCCAAATCTAAGAACTGCTATTCTTGACTTCATTGGTTCGTCCATAAATTATGATATCACCACAGTCACATAATTTAAAAAATAGTATTCCATTATATGATAAGAGTTTTATTATAGATGTGTTGTTTCACAGAGCCACATTTTAATGTCTACTGAATAAAAAATTTTTTGTTAAGCCTTCGATAAAATAGTTTATTTTTATGCCGATAAGTAGTACACTTGAATAGTCAAATATTATCTTATTTTAAGTGGGAAACTTTTGTTCTAAACGTATGTACTTTGACTAGTGTCTTTAATTTACAGTTTTTTGAATGGTATCTTTTCCATTTGTTGATAAAATACAAATTCCTTTAGTTGTTATCTATTATGTGAGTTTATCAATCCATCCGTTTTTCCAATACTCAATAAATGTACGATATTCAGGATTTTTAGGTATTTAAATAGGTGAGTACTGCATATAAAAGTGTGGTTTTCAATAAATACGTTATTTCAATTTGTTTTGTGTACCATTATTTATATATTTTTAAAAGGAATTCTTTCTACATAACTACTATTAAAATGTATTAACAAATTACTTGGTTTTCAGTTATAAATTTAAAAGTCGCATCATTTTTATGCAAACATTCAATTTTATTATGATTAACCTATCATATAAGTTACTGTTTATAAATTTTCTACTTAGTTACCACCTAGAAATTAACATCTCAGAAAATTTAAATAGTAATATAGTTTGATTTGTCTGATACTTGTTCTCTTGTCATCAACTTCTAATCGCTTTCTTACTCCTTAGAAATTTGTTACACTTAAACCCTAAATAGGAAACAACAATACAAAAAGAAGTTTTACTTCCAAGATTAATTAAGGTACAGAGAACAGGAATGTTAGCGTTTTAAATGTGTGACATTGATACTGATGGAAGCTTCTGACAATATGTCTATATTAGTAACAAGTAGGATATGGTGCATTATATATCAATTTTCTAAAACTCTAAAAAAATTTTATTCACCATACATTCAGCGATTTACTTCCACGTTTTTCCTGAAAAATTGTCAACAGCTTTCAGGCAGTCAATATTAGATAAATTATTCTCTCATTACTAGTTTTAAACCTGAAACATTATCTCTTATATATTCCATTAACTAGATAGGTTTTGTTTACTTTCATACGGAATAGTTATGAATTGTATTGGATCATATCGAATAGAAAATTCATTTTCCTATTTGATCCAATAAATTAGAAAATGTTAAACGATTTCAAAGTTACAAAGTTTGTTTTTAATAGGATTTGTATGATGTGTACACTATCTGTCTGTATGTTTGTGAATGTCATGTGGACAAACAGAAGGAGCAGACCGTTTACCTATGGAAATTTAAATCGAAAATAAACATAAATAAAATTTGACTTTATGTTCTAAACGATTATTTGCGGGAAAATTATTCGATATATGTATATATATCACGTATTCGAACAGTTTGTTGCCTCTTCAGTTCATTCATATATGATATGGGCGTTGTTTTTTACTAGGGTATATTTCTGCCTGCCTACTTAATAATTCACTTCGCAAATGAAGTATCTAATACATGGTTTTCACATTTTACGAGAGAACTTGGTAATTTTGCATCAAACAGTAAATTAGTTGTCCACACCTGAATGTTCATTCACTTCATTTGTACTTTTCTGATATTTATCTTTCTAATTTAATCTTATTGTACTGATTTGATTTGGCAAAATGTGAACAAATACACACCTATGTTTCAAGTTTCTTATTGCTTTTAACAGGCAGTCAGATAAATTAACGTCGTCGTCATATATGTTTTTTAAATGAAATTAATTTAACAGATGTGTAAGATTTCCAATTTACTTTTTGAATATTACGTATTATTACTTTATTGTTTGTCTTTTTTTTATTCTCACTTTATAGAGTTTTCACAATTTGTTTCCTATTTAACATATCAATAAACTCATCCCAACATTGATCTCCTAACTTGACATGATTATGCTTATATAAAAAAAATAATTGTGTTATAATTGATACACTGAACAATAGTCATGTCACTTTTCATTTTAAATTATCATATTTTATTTGTATACTACTTATAAAGTCCTTAGAATGTTATACAGATACTAACTATTCACTATTATCTGATTTTTCTGCAAATGAATTTATCTGTAAACGAATGTATAAATTAATAAATTTCGACCTTAAATTTATCAGGAAGGTATAACCTTATTGATAGTAGTGTGTAATATACTTTCTACTGTAACCATTTAAGTAAATTTTATTATCTTTGTAAAGAAAATAGAATAATAATAACAATAATAATAATAAAGATCAATAGATTTATTCACTTGTCCTCATTTTTTTTGGTACAATAGTATTTGGTGATGATGTATTCATGTAATGGAGTATAATGAATACTAAAATAATGCCATATGTATTGCACCATGTGTGTTTATAATAAACAATTTAACACAACTATTTAAAAATTATATTATGTTCTATGCACGTAAACATATATTTTAAGTCTCCGTCTTTTTTTATTTTAAATATTCATGTTCTGTCTATCATATGGCGGTGTATCACATTAATTTATAATTTCTTCTTTGCTGTTGATTTAAATGACTAATCAGATATAATACAATATTGAATAATGAGGATAATAATAACTTTATTATCGTTAATACTCTTATTGTTCATTATCAGTATTACTGATAGATTAAGTCTCATGTCTATGCGTTTACTTCAATTGGTTGTTGCATAAAAATGAAAAAGTGAATTTTTTGACCAATAAAAACTGTAGGCGAAACATGTTTTTATTTAATGAAATGAGACTTTAATTTTGTTTATATGTTATATAAACTTTAATTAAAAATTGTCTTCAAACACATAGGAAACTATTTTTTTGTCTTGTTATTTCATCTTAATTTGAAACCTTTTCGATAGCAGTCTATGTTCATGATTGAGTCATATTTAGTGTAGTCAGACGAATATCATCAGTGAGATTGTATAATGATCATATATTATTGCTAATTGACTGAATCTAGAAATATGTATCCG